AATTTGCTGAGATGTCAGCTCGGGATTCTTCCAGGAAAACGCTGGAGATGGAGAGCTTCCACCGGAGATTCAGTGCCTGGACACCATTTACCAACAAGTCGTTAAATAGACAGGTGAGTTACATACTGTACAATAAAACAAGTTTAATTTGTAAGGCTAAATTTACTAGGAAATATTAGGTTTCATGTTGCCATATATATTTTTTAAAACCTTCTAAAGAATTTACTTTTTGAATTACTTTAAATAAAAATAAACCTACATTTGTCTGTACCAAAGATAGTCTCTTTTCACCCCAGTCTCCAACTCTTAAATGATGGGAGGCTCAAGATCTGTCTTCCCTTCCCTCTGTACCTCCAGGGACAAAATAGAAAGCTCCAGAACACACACTGTTGGCCGTACTGGGGAAGGAGGAAAGAGGAAGTACTTTGGGTGGTATTTGGTGTGGAGAGTGTTAATGTGTAATTCTGTGTATTTCTTTAATCCTCTCTTCCCTCCTGTGCCAACTGTACAGTTCCACTGCCCTTTGAAGGGTAGCACAGGAAGTAGTCACTGAATGGCTGTCAGATCTTCATGGAGAAGGCCGGCTGAGTCCTCACAGCTCATGCCTGGCTTAGGCCCATTCACAAGGGAAGGAAACCAGACAGACCAGGGCCAAAGCCCCACTGAGTAATAAAGCCAATGTGTTTGTATATGTCATCTGAGCAAAGCCGGACTGAAATCCAGGTTTGGGGTGGGGGAGGGGACACTGTTTCTTGGTGTATGTCTTCCCAGGAGACACATCTAACAACGGCTATTTAGCGATATTTATTAACCTTCATTTTGGTGAGTGCGATGAAGATATAGGACTGTGGTTTAACAAAATCAAACCTACTTCAAACGGCCTTATTTTCATAATTAAACAAGTGTAGCCTCTTTGTGTTTTCAAGATAAAATGTTTGGAATCTGTTTCCCCAGGTCACATTAACTTAGGTAGGAACAAGAGCCAGGATTATCTTTTTGTTTTGAAAGAGGCCTTCTTGGGTCCCTCTATAATTATGTCACCCCAGCCTTTTCCGCCAGCCCACCCAACCAGCCTGGGCTTGTCCGTATCCCTGAATAAGAGCAGTCAAAGCTGATGAGAGAGACCCCTGCTACACATGTGAAAGTGCTTTGTGAACTGTAACGTGCTATGCAAATGTTAGCTGTGAAGCTGTTAGATTGCCTAAGGATTGCTTAGCAACTAAGACTACGTTAAATATACAGGAAAATACCCTTTCCCCCCCTTTAGCTCTTTC